GCACTGTCCCCGTATCTCTAGGGGACACCCCACAGTTCCACACTGCAGTGTCCCCGTATCTCTAGGGGACACCCCACAGTTCCACACCACAGTGTCCTTGCATCTCCTGGGGACACCCTACAGTCCCACACCAGTATCCCTTTAGCTTCTGGGACACCCCACAGTGCCACACCGTAGTATCCCTGTGGCTCCTGGGGACACCCCACAGTCCCATACCGCAGTGTCCCTGCAGCTTCTGGGGACACCCCACAGTCCCACACTGCAGTGTCCCTGCGGCTCCTGTGGACACCCCACAGTCCCACACCGCAGTGTCCCTGCAGCTTCTGGGACACCGCAGGCATAGGTAGCCTTGTGTCAGCCTGAGTCAGATTTTCCTGTGAACCTCCCTTACACTCAGTGAGGTGGAAGCGAACATACAGTTTGCAGCGAGTGAGTAAAACACTCCTCGTAAGAACCAGTCGGAGGGTGCAGAGTGACTGGGACACAGGGGGTCACAGAAGGCCTCTGCAGCGGGCAGCGAGGCAGCATGGTCCCCCCAGGAAGCCAGAGGGCAGGGGCAGAGGCCTGGAGGCAGAGCTGGTCAGTGGAGACATTAGTTTTCTTATAATTGTTCCAAAACTTAGAGCGTGTGAGATGACAGTAGTGAAGCAGTAGGCAGAGCCCGAGGTCGGAGCGGAGACCCAGTGTCGAGCTCCCCGTTGTGCTTCCCGGCAGCCTGACCCACAGGAGGTGCCTAAGGAGGATATTCTAAAACTGAATTTTTATGAATGGTTCGGCAGATAAGGGAAAGCCTAATGGTTCTGAATTTCTTACAGATTGAGTTTTTTTTTTATGAAGGAGTATTTTAGAAAAGAAATTAGAAAATACAGATCGGCCCACAAATAGATGATTAAACCTGTAATTCCATCCACCCGGAAATAATCACCATTAATCCCTTGACGTAAAAATATCAAAAAAACAAGAAGCTACAATGTTCAGTCCCAGACTCTGAACCAAAGTTGAGTCTTCCCTTTGTGGCAGAGCTACAGGGTTACGGACACACGCGCGGCCCGGGGTGGGCATCCTTGTTTTCCGTCGATGCGCTGTTTGCCCGGAGGACCGTTGGTCCCGGCCACCGAGTGGGCCTGCGGTTTGACCACTGTTCTCCGGGGCCGCCGCACTGGGAGAAGGGAGGCGTCTCCATGTGCGCGTGACCTGTCCTTGCCTGAGTGTGGGTGGCCCACTGGCCCCTTTCGGAGATTCCCTGGTCTTTGGGGGTGGCTGACTTACCCGGCGGGCAGGTAGTGGAGACGGTGCAGTAAACACACCCACTGCATGAGACGTCGGTGTTCCGTGGAGGTGAATTAGGGGTTCATCCTTCCTCGGCCAGGGTTCCCACAGATGAACGTGTCCTCGCCCCGCCCCAAGCATCCCTCCCAGCGTGTGCGGTCTCGTTCCACGGATCGCCCTCCCCCGGGGCATCTTGGGCGCTGGTGCGTTCTCGTACCGCGACTCCCGCTGCTCTCAGGCTCAGGCGGACCCCGCCACCCTCTTGCGGCCCAGTGCGGCTCCTCGTCCCACGTCCCTGAGTCCCGGGGCTGGAGGCATTTCCCTTGCTCCGGCTTCCCCTGGTGCCTCCTCCCCAACAGCACGCTTTCCGCCACTGCTTCCGTCGTGTCTGTGGACGCGCGAGGCCACTCAGTGAAGGACGCCCAGAGAGCTAGGCACTGGGAAAGGACAGCCCCTCCCGGCTCAGTCGGCCTCGTGGACGTGCCACCGTGCGAGTCCTTTAGCTGTGGGAACAAGGCACGTCGGAGAAACCAGACACACTTTTTTGTTGAAGTCCAGCATCCCGTGTGACATGCGCCCACGGCAGCAACGACCATCCTGCCCAGCGAGCCCACGGTTGAGTCCCCACTGGCTCACGGCCGCGGCATCACGTAGCTCCTCTTGCTGGTGAGTGTCTGGGGTTCGCTGCCCGCTGTTGGCTCAGACGGCCGGGCCAGGGCCTGCACTCAAGAAAGAAGACATTTACCCTCAAAACAGAAGCGTTCTCTGAAAGGAGGATGATCTGGGACCGCGTCTGGTTGGCGACGCGGTTGCCATGGCTCCCGGGGGGCGAGTGGGTGTTCTGAGATGGGAGACACTGAGCCTCAGAGCAGCTCAGAGGACGTGCCCCGGTGGCCAGGCAGCGAGCAGACACGGAACCGTGGACCACATCCTCGAAGTAGAGACGACTGCTTCCGCAGAGGAGCCCATCTGCTTTTTAGCGCTTTCCTTTCCTCTCACATTTTAGATCAGATCTGCTATTTCGTACGACCCACAGTGGCAACTCAAAGGCGTGTGTCTCTGTGGGTGGGGGAGGTTGGGGGCGTCCGCCCCTCCGTGGCTGTGGCTGTGGGTGGGCAGCATGCCGGAAGGCGTCAGACAGCTCAGAGCAGTGATGGCTGCTTGCTTGTGCTGCTGGGTGAAACCGGGTTTAAGAGAAAATCCTGAGAAATGCCAAATGTTTTGTTGTCAAATATACAAGTGGGCAAGTATAAAAAATCTAAATATGAGACCATCGTAAAAATAGAAAATTGGGACACTCACGATTTCTGTGCTGCCGTTGACTCAGCTGTTCTGAGAAACGAGTGGGTTATTTATGCCCTTCTCATTCTGAAGCAGGAACCAGCACGTTAATTATTCCAACACAGCCCCCTTGAGGTCGATGGCGTAGCTCTGTGGCAAAAGAATGGACCAAAATGGAGTGTGGCTGACTTGAATTTTACACGAAATACTGGTATGTTATAGACTTAGGCGAGGAAGGAATGTAGAAGGATGTGCCATTTTTTATGCTTAGAAATGACACTTCCCAGAATCTTTAGTCATAAAAATGACTTTAAAACAATTTGGATTTGTTGAATCTATGACGAAAGTGGACGTTAGGTCAAGTTATGACTTCTGAGTTTAATTAACTTTAACATAAATTTCCCTTAGCGCTGTTAGGAAGTGTCACGTACATATTAACCTCTGTTGAAAAAGATGTT